CCCCGCCCCCGGACCCCGCCAGCTTCCCCAGGACTGCCCTCTGCCCGCTTCCTGGGTCGCCCGTCCCCTTTCACCACCCCTGCATTGTCCCTGAAACCTGACCGTTACCCGCCTGCCCCCGATCACTCCCAGACCCTGGCCATTACCCGGCCAGGCCTGAGTCGCTACCTCCGAGGACAAAGTCCACCCCAGCCCACCCTGGGGGGGTGGGGGGGGGGTCTTCTGAGCTTCGCGGGGGGTAGAGCTGGGTGCTGGTATGGGGCGCCCTCAGATGGGCTTGGAGCAGCTGTGGTCACTGCCCCGTTGTGGATCGGAATCTGGGCAACAGATGGTGATATGAGATGCTTGCTTGCTGTGCCTCTCATTTAGCTGTGTGCCTCTAGCGAGCCGCTTGACCTCTCTGAGCCCGTTTGCTTATTCCTTATAAAAACAGAGGTACATAATTATAACATCCACCTCATATGGGTTGTTGTGAGGATAAGTGAGATAGGGAAGGAAGAGTTCCAAAAAATGTAAGCTATTATTATTATTGTTACTTGGCAGTGGCATGCAACTCCTGGGCCTGGGGCAGAGTTAAACAAACAAACCCTTTGCCTTTGATTGCTACTCATAGTGACCCTATAGGACAGAGTAGAACTGCCCTGTAGGGTTTTCAGGGAGCGGCTGGTGGATTTGAACTGGCAACTTTTTGCTTAGCAGCCAAGCTCTTAACCACTGTGCCACCAGGGTAGCGTAAGAAGGCCCCAAATGATACATATTCTGTGTTCTCTTTCTCAGAGTTTAGCACAAGGCCTGGACATATAAGACTTTTATTTATTTATTTATTTGAGTGAGTGAAAGGGGGACGAGGAGGGGATGGGCGGCCTCAGTGAAGGAGTGGGAGGAACCACCAGGAATAGTCAGCCCTGTTCCTATTTGCAGATACGACCTGTTGCCTTACATTGGGAATATTTAATGCAAAGAATCACAGAATGAAAAAAAGTACATTTAGTTTTCTTAAAATTACTTTTAATGTTAGTACTTTTATAAATTGGTAAACACAACAATAAAAATTCCACTTCTGTTTTGTATTCATTAGAAAAACAACGCCATGCTATCAGAACACGAAGACAGAATGTAAAGCTGTACGGAGTAGAACATATAACATGGAGTGAGAAACGATGTCATATTCGTCCATGTGCAAGTTAATAAACTGAAAATCTATGTTTCGTTTTTCTCCAGTAATATTAATGTAAAAGTATCCAAGAACTGTTACTGCAATAACGCGGATTGGAGCCGCCTGCCGCAATAGCCAATTCTGAGACAGGGGTGAGGTGAGAAGCAAGAGGTTTATTATATATTGATATATAGAAGACAGAGGGAAATAGATTGCTCCAAAAAACCCATCTCCCCCACTGGGGATCGGCTGAAGGCTTTTATAGGGACAGGATTATGGGTCTTAGAAGTTTGTGTTAGTTCCCCCTTGGGGTGGTGATGTCTCAGATGAGTTAACCTTCTACTGGTATTCTTGGAGGTTATCTGGTGACATCCTTGGGGATTATCTGGTGACATCCTGGTTTCTCTTGTCACAAGATGGGTGCTTTGTTTGGGTTTTCATCCTTAGATCATTATCGCTTGTTTTCTACCCTTCAAGGAGGAACATCAGTTAATCTTAAACCTTCTGTAGAGACTGGAGGAGCAAGATCATGAGACAATGTGGTGGTTCGCAATGGGGAGTAAATAATAGTGAACCAGGCCTGCGCAGCCTCTTCCAGAACCAGTTCAGAACGATAATATAACATTTTCTTTTAAAAGTAGACCAATCACTTATTTTTAAAACCTTTGTATTTGGAAATAATTTTAGACTTACAGAAGAGTCATAAAGATGGTACAGAGAGTTTCCATGTGATTTAGAAAATAATATTGGAGTCATTATTCCCTGTCCTTGAGCATAAAGAATGTGACCCAGCTGAAGCTGGGCTCACAAGGACCACAAGGACACATCAACTGGGCCCTGAGATAAAGACAATAGCTAGGACAATCTTGGAAAATATCTTTTAGGGAACCATTCACTTAAGCCAATCAAATAGAACTCAAAAGACTTTCCACTCTTTTTCTATTAGCATTTCGTGAATAGAAAATTGTTGGACCAATGAAGACCCTCCCGACTGTTGTTACTGAAACCTGTACCAATGATTGTTAAGAAAGACAATTCAAAATGTAGAATCACATGGATCTAGTACCTTTTAGCCAATCGGTGAAAAGGTGAAGCTTTCAATGATTTTTACCCATTCTGTGATGTTAATATGTTCTGATGATTCTGTGACGTTCCTTGGATTCAGGCAGACATTAGCTCTGGTAGCATGCTTGTCCGCTTCCCTCTTTTGCCTTTTTGAGTATATGTCGAATAAAACTTTTTTTTTTGCTTTACTAAACTTTGTGATCTTTTCACCCTACAACGACAGTCAGTAACAATATACGCTTCACCCAGTGTCCCCAGTGTTAACATTTTATATAACATGGGTGTTGTTGTGAGCTGTCGTTGAATCGATTCCAAACCATGGCAACCCCGTGTGTGTCAGAGTAGAACTGCTCCATAGGGTTTTCACCGTGTGACCCTTTGGTAGCAGGTCTCCCGGCCTGTCTTCTAAGGTGCCTCTGGGTAGCTTTCTTCTTCCACGCCTGTATTTCTCTTTCAATTTTTTTTAAAAAAAGTTTTCCGTCTCCTGGCTGAGTTTCTCCTTGCTTTTTATGATCGCCATTACTTTGTCTTCTGGGTGTTGTTTGCTCTTTTTGAACGTATTTAACCCTGTCCGGATGTCTTCTATTTTTCTTATTAACTTGACCTCCATTGGAGAGATTTCTGCTGCTTCATGGTTTTCTGTTAATTCAACCATCTTCTCCCGCGATCTTGTATCATAATTTTTTGTTGAATGTGGGGCTTTTTAATATCTTACTGTGATAATCTGGAACTCAGAATTTCCTGTATTTCCAGGAATTATTTTTTTTAATTCTTTAATTCCAACTTCTTCTCCTAAATTCCACTAGAAGGCACTCTGACCCTTTGGTTCTTTCAACAGTAACTCAGCCACTATGTGGCCGGGGTCTGAGGGTTTTTTTTTTGTTGTTGTTAACAGACAATCCTGGCGGTGCAGTGGTTAAGTGCTTGGCTGTTAACCAGAAGGTTGACAGTTCAAACCCGCCAGCTGCTCCCAGTCAGCTTCCATAAAGATTTACAACCTTGGAGACGCTATGGGGCAGTTCTACTCTGCCCTACAGGGTCGCTAGGAGTCAGAATCGTCTCCATGGCAACGTTTTTTTTCAACCTGTGATATGCAGATGACACAACCTTGCTTGCTGAAAGTGAAGAGGACTTGAAGTACTTACTAATGAAGATCAAAGACTATAGCTTTCAGTATGGATTATACCTCAACATAAAGAAAACAAAAATACTCACAACTGGACCAATAAGCAACATCATGCTAAACGGAGAAAAGATTGAAGTTGTCAAGGATTCATTTTACTTGGATCCACAATCAACACCCATGGAAGCAGCAGTCAAGAAATCAAAAGACGCATTGCACTGGGCAAATCGGCTGCAAAAGAGCTCTTTAAGTGTTAAAAAGCAAAGATATCACCTTATAGACTAAAGTGAGCCTGACCCAAGCCATGGTGTTTTCAATTGCCTCATATGCATGGGAAAGCTGGGCAATCAATAAGGAAGACCGAGGAACTGATGCCTTTGAGTTGTGGTGTTGGTGAAGAATATTGAATATACCATCGACTGCCAAAGAACGAGCAGATCTGTCTTAGAAGAAGCGTAGCCAGAATGCTCCTTAGAAGTGAGGATGGCCAGACTTGTCTCTCATACTTTGGACATGTTATTAGGAGGGATCAGTCGCTAGAGAAGGACATCATGCTTTGTAAAGTAGAGGGTCAGCGAAAAAGAGGAAGACTCTGAATGAGATGTATTGACACAGTGGCTGCAACAATGAGCTCAAGCATAGCCACGATCGTGAGCACGGTGCAGGACTGGGCAGTGTTTCGTTCTGTTGTACAGAGTCGCTTTGAGTCGGAACCGACTGGATGGCACCTAACACCACCAACATTCTGGCTCCAGAGATTTTAGGCATTTTGTAAAATTTTAAGTTTCTGGGTGCCGACGCAGGGTGGTTTTTCCCAAGGTGGCTGGTGTTGCTGGGGGGTTATATTCCCTCCAAGGACCGTGAGATGGGGTGTGTCCTTTTGCAGAACACTGCAACTTTGGGGCGGGATTCCTTCACGCCTGTCTGTGGGGTGGGGCGAGGCTTTTCCGCTGTGGCTGACTGCGCAGGCGCCGGGGTTTTCCGCTGGCCCGGGGCGGGAAGAGATGTGGTGTGGCTTTCGGGAGGCGGGCCTGTTTTTGTCGTTAGGTGACCGCTCGGTTCCGAATCGTATCGACCCTATGTACAATAGAAGGACACATTGCCCGGTCCTGCACTATCTTCACAATTCTTATGCTTGGGCCCACTGAGGCATGGTGCTGTAGTGCTTTGTGTCCCTTCCCCACGGGGACCCTGAGTAGGTGCCTAGTTGTTGGGTAGGGAGCCGGTCCGTCTGGCTGGCAGGCTTGATGTACTCTTCTTGTCTTGCCTTTTCTGCAGCTCTGGGTCCTAGCGCCCGCCTGTCTCTGGTCTCGCGAGACTCAGCATTCCCGCCGCGTTTCCGCTTCCCTGGGCACTTCTGACGACTTCCCTGCGCGTGGGTTTCCAGAACCAGCCCGGTCTGCTTCAGTCGGGGCGCGCTTTCCCTAGTTTTCCAAATTTGAAATCC